CTAGGGCCAGGAATTTAGCTCAGTGGTGCCACCTCCAGCCTTGCAAGCACAAGGTCCTGAGTTCAATCCAAGGGACAAAAAACAAATAAATAAATAAACTCTAAAATGCACCTCTATTAGAGTCACTAATCTTTTGCACCAACCCATGAAGCTACAAAAAGCCATCTTTTGACTGCAAGCCCATATTCTTAAAGCTTTCAAGAATGTCTTTCTTTTAAAGTCAGTTTTGGAAGAGGCAAATTTTTTAATTAATATTTGAAATTTTCTAAATCTCCGTGCCTAACGTCCTATTAAATATTTTCTATTCCTTTGCACTCACGACTTTCTCCCTATTTTTTTTTCCTCCCAGTACTGGGGCTTGAACTCAGGACCTTGTGCTTGTGAAGTAGGCTCAGCACCATTGAGCTAAATCCCAGGCCCTATTTCTCCCTATTTCTAATGCTAACTGCTATTTCTCAGTTGCAAACAGATGAATAGATGAGCGAAATCCTTTATAAAATACAACTTTCTTAACCAGGCATGGTAGCACATGCTTCTAATCATAACACTCCGGGAGGCTGAGCCAGGAGGACTGCAAGTTCGAGCCTAGCCTGGGCAACTTTTGGACTTAACAAGACCCTGTCTCAAAATAAAAAAAGCTGGGGATGTAAGTCAGTGTAAAAGCCCCGGGTTCAATCCCCAGGAAAGGAAAACAAAACCAAAACATCTTTCTGGAGAATAGATATGTTATCTAATAAGGAAAATAGTGTACACAGGAATGGGTGGTCAAAACCTTTTTTTTTTTGCCACTACCAGGAATCTAACTTGCGACGCTGTGTTTGTCTGGCAGGACTGGCACCACTGAGCTAAATCCCTGGCCCTCAGAAACTATTTTTAATATTAAAAATTTTCAAACATGTACTAGGCCTGTGAAAATATGACATCACTATACCAAAAAGGCAATATGCACAACTCTAGGGCAATCTGAAATTCATTCAAGCATTTAGTTTTGGAAATTGAAAAAGCAACTTGGTTGCATTATATATATTTTTTTCACACATTTATATAACATATTTATAAATTTACAGATGTTATACATGTAGTGATAGTATAAACATTACACCCCCAAAATCTTAAAAGGATAAAATAATAGAATACACAAAAGTTCTAATATTTTCATCCCAACGAATCATCCTGCACACCCTGTAGGGTGCAGACATGACTCTAGAGCATATATGAAAATATACAGAATTAATTTATAGTTTTCAGAAACATGCTGTTTCACGCCTTGCATTTATTGTAATTCAGCATTCTGGAATATTCCTATCAAGCCCTCCTAAAAAATTCAGTGGCAATTCTTACTCCTGTTAAGAATCAGCTCAACAAACCAATCACTAAATGGGACAATAATCTCAACATACACTTCTCAAAAGAAGTACAAAAGGCCAATAAATACATGAAAAAAGTATTTAACATCTTTTGACATCAGGAAAATGCAAATAAAAACTTTACTGAGATTCCATCCCAACCCAATCAGAATGGCTATCATCATGCCAGGTGTTGTGGCACACACCTGTAATCCCAGCACTCAGGAGGCTGAGGCAGGAGGATCGCTAGGAGTTCGAGACCAGCCTGGGCTATAAGTTCCAGGGCAGTCTCATCTACATAGTGAGATCCCGTCTCAAAAACAAACAACAACAACAACAAAACAGAATGGCTATCATTAACAAAATAAAAAATAACAAATGCTGGTAAGGATGTGGAGGAAAAGGAATTCTCAGTTGGTTATAGTGTAATAGTCTGAATATAAATTAGCACAACCAGGCCAGAGATTTAGCTCAATGGTGCCATCGCCCGCCTCACAAGCACAAGGTACCGAGTTCAATCCCCAGTGCCAAATAATTAAATAAATAAGCACACCCACTATAGAAAATAGTATGAAGATTTTTCAAAACAAATGAACCAAAACAACAACAATAAAAATAAAAAATGAACCACTATGATCCAGTTATACCACTTCTGTATATATATCACTCCAGAAGAAAATAAAGCCAGCACACAAGAGATACCTGTATACTCACGTTGTGTGTGTGGGGTACTGGGGATGAAACCCAGGACCCTGCACTTGGCAAGGCAGGTGGCAGCATCACTAAGATAAATCCCCAGCCCTACTCACATTTATTGTGACACTATTCTCAGGAAAGCTAAGACTAAGTTGCTTTACTGCCAGGGTTGGGCTCAAACTTCTGATCCTTCAGCCTCAGCCTCCCAGAGAGATGGGACTACAGGTAGGTGCCATTATACCTGGCTCTGAATCATCTATTTCCTAAAAACTATATTCATTATAAGAATATTGTTCTGGAACATCTATACATCTAAATTATATTCCAAAGGTTGTAACGTATGCTTTTCTCAAAACTGTGCCCACTCAAAGCACTTTAGTTATAACTCAGATCTTAGGCTAATTTTATAGAAAAAAGTGATTTCCTAATATGTCAAGTTAGTTTAGCAAAACTATTATTTTCAAAATATTGGCATACATCAAATATAGGTAAAAAATGAAAGACTTAGAATTAAGACAATCATATTTGCTAAAATCAAGAGTTTTATCCTTCTTAGGCTAAAAAAACAGAAAAAATTATGACATTTATAAACTATGTAACATTATGTTTTAATTTCTAAGTATAAACACTACTAGATTACATGGTGTTACAATTTAGGTCTACACATACTCCAAAAGCCTCCAGTGTCCATACATAGATAGGTCTTTGGAAGCTGACGTGATAAGATTATGGGGCCTTATTGCTGACTTGCTATTAAGAGGCCAGTGACGGTGGGTGTGACCTGAAAGGGTAATCTCTCTTCCTGGCTCCTCTCTTGAGCTCTTTGCTTCCTGGTAGCCATGACATTTTGATCCTGCCTTGGAGCCACCTGATTATGACCTAAAACCTCTTGAAACTAACTAAAATAACCTCTCCTTTAAACTGTGGGTGCCAGTTTTGTGTCTCAATGACCAAGAAAGTCACTAAGATACATGAGAATGTTTCGGAACATTAACCACTAGGAATGATGATTCGGATCATTTAGAAATTTACTTTTATGTAAAAGAGAAAGTTTTCCTGTTCTTCTGTAGGACTAAAGTTTATTATACATACATTGTTTTTGAAAGCATCAATAGTTCAGTTAAACCTACATGGTACTTAGCACTTTCAGGCAGCTCATTCTAAATCACTGTTTTCACATCTGTAAAGCCAAATGGATTAAAAAAACTCTAAAGTTCCTCCTAAGTCTAAAATCCTGTAACAACAATCTGAAGTATATTTTATTACTTAAAGATAATATAAGGATGGGGCCAGGGATTTAGCTCAGTGGTGCTGCCGCCTACCTCGCAAGCACAAGGTCCCAAGTTCGATCTTAGGTACAAAGAATAAATAAATAAATAAATAAATAAATAATATAATATACAGATGGATTGTTTTTTATGCATCATAGCCATCATGCACTGAGATAAGGGCAACAAATACTTACAGGTAATTTACAAACTTAATATGTGATTATTCTATTAACAAATACAGTAATGTATCTCATGAAAGGATTCAACAAGAGGCTCCTTAAAGAGAGTTCCCCTAATGAGTTAGGCACTGTTAAACTTTTTGTGAAATAAGTCACTGATAGTCTTGCAAATAGCACATGGGAAGCCATATCTGACAAAGAGATTACATTATATTAAAAATAAAATTATAAATCAAAGATAGTGATGGTGGCACAGGCCTGTTATTCCAGCTACTCATGATAGTAAATTCTGGACCAGCCTGAGGAATTTGTGAGACACTGTCTCAAAATTAAAAAATAAAAGGGGCTGGGGATATAGCTCAGTACTCCCTGAACTCAATTCCTAGTACCTCCCCGCCAAAAAAGAAAGAAAAGAAAATCATAAAGACCAAAAGCTTAACACAATTTTAATGGAGTTCTTCCATAAAAGCTTACATACAATGCCCAGGTTCAGATAAGGGGTACTATTATCATAAAGTCTATGTGATCAACACTGTTGATTTTACATTTTTAAATTTTACATCATTTAATCCTCACAGGAACTCAATGGGATATGTACTACTAACATCCCTATTTTACAGATGAAAACAATGAGGTCAAAAAAAGGTTGAGTGGCTTGGTCAAGTTCGCTCAGCTTGTAAACAAATGCCTATTTCACTTTATTTGAATGATTTTCTTTTCCTGAAGAACCTAATTTGGCTTATCTCAACTAAACAATGATTACAACATAAGTTTAGTATCCTCTTGTGTTATTTTTCTTTAGGAAAATAATTAGATATGCAGATAGCATTTATCAAGAGCACAGTACTATCTGAATTCCTTTAATTTCTGATAGAATAAAAACAAATGTCTAAAGACTGGTAATGTAGCTCAGTGCTAGACTGCCTTCCTAGCACCCTCGAAGACCTAGGTTAAATACACCAGCACCACAACAAACAAAAAACACATCAGAAACCATACAACACAAATTCTACACTTACTAAAAATGTGTATCGGTACATTTCTATTACAAAAATTGTTTCCTCGAAGACAGAGAAAAGACCAAGAGTATGCCACAGTATCATTAAGTACTAACATTCTCTAAATCTCCGGCGGCTAAAATGCATAATACAACTTAAAAGTATTTTAATGGTTTGAAACCAACTTCCTACCTGAGCAAGCTAAAATTATTTTTCTAAAAACCTTTTTTCAACGTCTCGCTCAAACCTAC